AATTGTGGAGAGACATGATTGTCAACATCCTGAAGGGACATGACACATAGGAGAAGAATGTCTGTCAATATGAATGGTAAAGTCATAATGAAATCGTGACTTCATAGTTTTCTATAACTGGTTCAAGATGATGTTCATACCATTTTTCAGCATGTGATTCACTGTAATATTGAAATATCTTCCACTGAACATACTGCCTAATTTTACCATGTTTGATCTTTGTTTTTCTTCAGTGTCATGATTGAACGACCAAACACTAAATCCTCAATAGTCTCAAAATGTTGTTTTCATAATCTACATATTGTGTCCACACTATTCTTTATTATGTTTGCATGTTAATTCCTGTTAAATTAGCTTCACATTTTCCACTTACATGAAGTGGAGCAAAGAGTCTGTAATGTAATTGATCCTGACAAAGCATCTCAACTTCAGTCATTTCTCTCCGATATGATATGGCTTCCCTCTGTCTTTTCTACAAATATTTTCATGGCAACTACTATGATGAGCTTTTTTCCCTAGTGCACAAACTACATGAATTTAAACATGTTACTAGATTGGCAACTTGGTCTCGCCATTTTGCTGTTGAACTAGCTAGATGCAACTACCACTTCTACTTCATTTCCTGCTTCCCTGATAACTACAATCTTCAAAGATTTAAATGTAATGTTAATCACCATCTTCTATCTTTTTTGAACCCTGTTTCTTTTTTTTATCTTTTCCTCAATGCTCTCAACTCTCAGTCTTACGCAGGAAAGATAACAGTTAATCCTCGACTTGAAAAGGTAAAGATTATAGTGATTCAGAAAACATCCTGTTGGAGTCTGTTCCACTAAACAGCAATTCAATGTTTGAAAAGAAAATAGAAAGAAAAAAGACAATTATACTCAGAATCAGAAAGAGACAACTGAAATTTCTTGGAAACAATGAAAAAGTGCTTTGAAAAATTTGATACTTACAAAACATATTGAAGGCAAAATAGACAGGTTAATTCAGCAGGTCACCTACCTGATGAACTTGTGTGAATGGATAACGGAATTGGGGGTGGGCAATAGAACATATGTTACTAAGGATTAAAAGGAATAAAAGGTTCTGGAGAGCCATCATTGTCTATATCCTGAAAAAAATATACATAGTGGGTCAGGCTGAGAACTTTTCAGCATCACCACATACAAGGGCAGATTAGAAACTCCATAGATTGATATACAGTTAATTAGTAAGATTTGTTTCCTTAAACCATGATTAACTCAAAAAAGTTTTTACAATCTAAAAATATTTTCTGGTTCTAAATAACCTGTAAAGGGTTGATAAGCCATAAAAAACAAGACTATCAGTCATTTTTAAAAAAAAAGGAAGTTTACCCACCAAATAGAAAAAAAAATGACGGAATGAAGGGAGATTTGACAATTTCAAACCACTGGTGTCATGGGACTTTTTACAATTTATCTTTTTTAGAACAGAGTTCTATTGACAGGTTTCAGTTCTTTTTGATGTATTCTTCTCAGGTAGCAGTCAAAAATTGCTTTCCCTTCTGGGTCCTTAATATTCTGCCTTCAGGACAAAATTTTTATGTCACTTTGTCATCTGTCTTGTTTGAAAAATTTGGCTATTTCATCCTTAATAATTTCTGTACCTTCAGGTTGAAAAGGATTATTACCTTCATCTTTGAAAATCTAATCACCTTCCCCTTTCAAATTTGATTACCTTCTAAAGATTATCTACTTGCTAGTCTCTTAGATAACAATTGAAAAGGCTTCATAAGCCCACAGTTTTGATTGGGTAGTAAATAGAAATAGTATCATTTTTTTAATTTAAAAATGAATTTGAAACAATTCATCTTGACTGAAATATTTTTGGTAGTTCTTTTATAGCCAATTCAAAAAATAGATATTTTTACACACAAATGTAACAATTTTTAATAACCATTTGGCTTTCTTTAAAATACACTTCTCTAAAAATTATGTGTATAAGACTAACCTAAACAATTATAATATTTATTTATTTACACATTTTTATTAATTATTATTTTTAATTATTTTGTATTACAGACTAATAAAATTTTTATATGTACACTCAAGAAAATGAGCTCTCTGGCAGGGTTTGAACCTGCATCTCCCTTTAGATGAGAAACTACCATTTGATCCGACATGACAGTCTGCTAGGCCATAGTGAACTCAGCAAGGTTTATTTCCCTTACATTTGAAGTAATAAAAATGTTGAATTAAAAATAACTCCATTAAAAAATTATTTGTTTCCATTTCAGATACAAAACTGAGCAGATATAGGTTTTTGAGAAAAGCATAAATGAGGAAATGTGCTTTCCTTAAAAGGGAAAATAGAAACGTTGCTGGGCTGTTTGCTCACTGTGGCCGTGTGGTCTAAGGCACACTCAATCAAAATGGTGGTTTCTCCTACAAAGGGGCACACAAGTCCGAACCTTACCAAACAGCACATTTTCTTTAAGTTTTCTCAAGTATGCAGATCAATGGATATAATACATTCTGTTTAAAAATAAAAACAAGGCATCTATTTCAAATATGAGTATCCACTAAAAATAACACTTAAAATAATAAAAACTCTCAGATTTTATATATATATATATATATATATATATATATATATATATATATATATATATATATTGTGTATTTGGGCAGCAATCCCTCTTTTATACAAGTTTCATTAAAGATGACTGACAAGGTACTGTGATTAGGTTTTGTATTTAATTTTTGTTGTGTTCTTATAATTTTCTCTTTTCTAAACAATCCACCTGCAAGATCCAGATTACACAGAACTAATATTTTTTTATGAATTTGCATGTCCCTTAAGGAACTGTATTTCTGATCAATCCAAATTCATGAATAACTACATTGGACATATCACTATATGCCTATCACTATAAAAATAAAAATCATCCTTGATTTGATATATATATATATATATCACCCAGATTTTCGTTGTAGATCCTACAAAGGCAACACATGTGAAAGGCATCAAGTTGATTGATGTGTCATCACTACAGAGTCTAAGATTCTGCACCATAAGTGTCCCCAGTCCAAAGGCAATAAACAGAGATGTTAAAATTAGTAAATGGTAAATTTCAAAATGGTGTTAAATGTTAGTAAACTCAAACACATTTAAAACATTGCTACTATACTCATAATAAATTTTGTTCAGTGTTGGTTGGTTGATTTTGATATAGAGGTCCTCAAGAATTTGAAGGTTTGTTTATTATTTTCATAATATAATCATAATATATTGGTGTTGTCAACAGTATTTTTCTGTATTGTGAAGGTGGACATTAATGTGTGCTTAAATGTTGATGAATTTCAGCTTAACATCAAGAAAATAATTAGAAAACTAGAAAGGATTATTATAAAAATAGACATAATATGTCTATATTATTTAATGAAACATGCTTGAATAAAGATATGCTGCCTAAATATAATCTCAGACTGTTGCCAAATCAATCGGGTTTTGATCCTGGCTTGAAACAATCAGATGTCTAGTCACACTGATGAGCTGTGATGCAGCAAAACAGTCTGTCTGTGAATGACAATATATATATATATATATATATATATATATATATATATATATATATATATATATATATATATATATACACACAATCAAACATAACCCCAGGTAGTATTTCTCTTTAAACTAAGTGAAAACATGATATGCAATAAATTTTATTTATTTTGGTTCTTTTAAGGAAATGAGGAGTTAAGCTTATGTATTGTCTTTGCTGTAAGTTCTCAGCAAACTTCTTTAGTCTTCATTGTCTATTAGCAAGAAATATTAGGACTATTAAGATTTTTAATAAATTAGTTATCAAAAATCAGTGAAATTATGGAATTTAATCAAACCAGAAACATATTTACAAATAATATTAACTAATTATTTTTACAATTAATTTAAATATATCCAAGTACTTTTGCCCAAATCGCTCTCATTCTCTTTGGGTTATGATTGAAGTTTCTGACAAATCTTCTTGCTTTGATTGATTGATTCATTCATTTTTTTACAGCTTATCAGCCCTTTATAAGTTATTTAAAGTCAGAAAATCTTTTTGATTATAGGAATTTGGGGCGGGAAATTATAATGGTTTAGTGATACAATTCTTACTAATTAACCCGGGGGGAGAAGATGTAGATTCATATCTTTCCCGAAGGTATTTGTACATAAGTGAACATAACAAACCCAACTGGAATTGGAACTCAGCTCTCCAATTAACAATTCTGAGCCATTATTCATTACACCACCCAAGCTTACAGCACTTGGTATTCCAAAACAGTCACCCATGTAGGTAATGACCAGGTTCAATTCTGCTTATTTTTGGTGATCATACAGAAACCAGTTTCAAAATGATATGGCCATAAGCCAAATCTTTTTGCTCTGATATTTTCCAGACAAGATTGGACATACTGTCTTTTTATTATAAAATGAAAGTTTGTTGCATGTTTTTAAAACAACCATTGTGCTGTTTGCTTCACTTCATAGATCTTCTCTGATTGTCTTGTTTGGTAGAGGGTTCATACCTTCTAAGGTGAAAGAAATAAATGGAGAATTACTTTTTCTAAACTTGAAATAACTAATACAAATAATATATCTTACTTTGAAATCATGTAAGCCTTGATGTTACTTACCCTTTGGAGAAATATACTTGTAAATTTGAATAAAAGTATTTATGTGTTATGGTTTGAATATCAGTACTTTTGTTCTGAATAAAAGTATTTAGTACTTTGAATAACTTGTTTAGTTTATTACTTTCAAAAAATCATAGTAAAACAATTTTACACAAAAAGAATAATTCACTGTTTATTCCTATAAACATACTTTAGCAATGAATTTATTACACGCATTAAATTTTATTGTGACTATTTATTTTAAACCATAACTATAAAAATTTAATAACCCATTCACAACTCAGCTGTTTTGCTATGACGAACTCTTTCTACTGGTTTTCTTCCGGTTAGTTACTTCCGTTATTTAACAAAATGGCGGACTCGGAGCTGACCGAAGATGCTGTCCGAAATTTCCTGCTTGCAAGTGGTGGAAAATCCACAAACCATGATCTGGTTACCCATTTTAAACCTTTCCTCAGTGATGCTGAAAACAAAGGTATTTTTATAAAAATGTACTTTTACATCTGCTAAACTTAATTCCTTAAGGGCCGGTCTATTGTAAACACTGAGTTATTGTCAATAAATATGCTATTTTGAAAAAGGTGTGGTCAGTCCTGCTCCAGAAATAAACTATTAAATTTGAAATTACCTATACTTTTGTTCATATTAAAACTCTGAAATGAAAGCCTCAGAGTTTTACCTCATCACCTACCGCTAAAACTTATATAAATTTCGTTTTTTACGAGACTTCCTTTCGAGTATTTCATTGCAGGGTTCGAAAAAATACACTTTGTTTACATTTTTAAAAACATCGTAACTTCGATCATAAAGTTATATTTCGTGTGTAATAAAAATATACTGAGATATTTTCCTTTTTTATGGTATTATTTTGGCTATTGTTCCCTTTATGTTTGTGAATAAAGTCAATTTTCCCCAAAACAACACGGATTTGAAAAAAACAAGGTGTGGTAAATAAATTTACCATATCGTCTAAAAGAAATAAAACTTTACTGAACTTTTTTTTTCTTGTAAAATAATTAATAAGAATTCTTCTTCAGCCTTAAAAAGTTAATTAAAAGTTAATATGACAATATCAATCCAAAAATAATTGCATTGAAAGTGAAATGTGTTTTCACTCGATCGAGAAAAAAGTAAACGTCATGTAGATTGTTTTTAATTTTTATGTTTGTTTGATGATTCGTAAATGTAATACAGTTGTCAGGACTTTATTTACATTTTATTTTTACAATACATAAAAAATGCTTATTTTCAAGCTATTGTCATTACACTAGAGCATGTTTGTTAATAAACAAAAAAAACTTGGCATTTCGGATTCGATATCGTTGACATTTCATCAATTACTTAAAAAAAATACTGAATCAATATTTATTTTTCTATAATAATAATTTAAAAATCAATCAATATTATCGATTGATTTTTATAAATTTTATTATTTTACTAAATTGCTGTGGTTAGTTACAGATAAATTCGTTTGAATTAGAACAAATCGAGAGAGTATTTGAATTGTTTCTGCCTGTAAAGTTTTTTTTTGTTTTTTTTTTATGTACATCAAATAAAAATATAATCACAAATTTTGGACCTTAAAAATCTAAAATGACGCGATCGTCTCATTTCCAGATACACGAGGGGACAACTCTGCTTTTGTTATTGTTAAAAAAAAAAAAAAAAAATGCTGTTATAAGTTTACTTACAACTTCTATTAACCGGCAGCATATTAATTCAAACAAAATCGCTATTTTATTTGTGTAGACTAATAGGTAAAAGGAATAAGTATGTTTACAAATTAATTAATAGTTATCTTTTGAAAAACTTACTCAACTTGTTCAATCAATGCTAATGTTGACTCCATGATCCATATTGTTTTTTTCTAATAATTTTCTTTTCTGTTTTTTCATTCTTTAAGTTAGTGCATTTTTAGAGTTACTTTTTGGCTATTTAAATACAGACAGTAAAAACTTTTATGATTATATACATTTTGCTTGTTATGATTTTTGATGAAACACAATTGCATTTTTAAAATTCCTGTATTATTGCACAAATCTCGTCACCCAAAGAAAAATCTAAGAGACTGAGAATTAAATTATAAATATTTACAATTTTAATAATAATATTTATGTAAATAAATCATAATTCCCAATTAAAATCAAATGACTAATAAATCCACAAAAATTAATTCTGGTCCTTTTTATACCAACAAAAATTGAAATGCTGTTTTACACAGTGTTGCTGTTCTAGTGTTAAAAAATAACTTCGATCTGACCGAAAAGTAAAAAGGCAAATATTTTATTTTGTTACAACAAATTTACCATTTTGTACTCTAACCATGCTTCTACATTACAATGTTTTGTCTTTCTCAGAAAATACGTGCTCTTGATGCCTTTTGCAGTCTTTCAAAGTAGTGAATTATTTTCCATAAATTTTAATCCAATTTGGCAAAGATTTTTGGCTGATGAACGAAACTTCCCAGCTTAGCAATAACAAATTGACAATGTTTAACCCTTATGCTCGCAAAAACTTTGTTTCAAAAGGACGTTTTGGGATTTTTTAGTTAACATTGCTATTTAAATACTGTATTTTGATTCCGTGGGCAATGTTTATTTTCATTTTACAAGAATATAAAAATAAAATAGATTAATCAAGTACAATGCGATATATATTATTATTTTATGAAGATCTAATTCTTTATTTTATAAAGAAATAAATTTGAAGAATCTTTTTATTCAAAAATTTATAAAAAAATTATAAACTAACAACAATGCAATTTATTAATTACCATTCTATAAATAATTATAGAACATCAAAATTTGAATAAACATATGACAAACATAAGTTAAATAATGCTTAGTTCAGAGGAAGAAATGCATAATAATTCTTTAATAATCTATTTTAGTAAATTTGTGACAAGGGAAAATGAAAGAAATGCCAGAAATATGCATTTTTTTCAAAATTTATAATTACAGTTTCTCATTATTTTGAGTCTATTTAATTTTCTTGTTCACAGACATTTTTATAAATTTATAAATAAAAAATAAAAATATTTCATTGTAGTTGGTTCATATTTTTATAACCTTGTAAATAAGCAATATGATAAATAAATAGTGTTTAACATCTTTGTTGTCATTTCTCAAGAATAAAGAAAATGTATAAACCCACTTTCATATGTTTGGGTTTTATTAAAATTCTAATCATTGCCTTTTAAAACGATAAACATTGCTGGGAGTTTCAAGGAAATAACCGCCCATTTGATACACTTGTTTTTGCAAGCGCAAAGATTAAACATTACCAACAAATTATTATGCAGTAATTTCAGATGCTTTTCATTGATTACTGTCTAAAGTTGGTCTAATTTGAAAGTAATATTTATTCAAATCTATCATTTATTTCTCATGAAGAACCTTATAATAGAACTCCTTTCAAATCTCACCATATATACATCAGTGATTCATTTCATTTACCACACAGACTTTTGCATTCAATGTTGTAAAGTATCTACTGTTCATCACCCATCACAAACATTTAAATACAGTTCAGTAGGGTCTTTCCAGTTAAAATAACCAGTGGTGTAAATTATTTTCAACGTTTGATTTGCATTCATTATTCAAATCAATAAACAAAATGTATGCTAATTTTGATAAATTTGTTTCAAAGAAATAACAATTGTTTTAATGTAATCAAAAAGATTATATAGTTAAAAATGTAATCAAAGAGATTATATAGTTAACAACAGATAAAGAAGAGGCTTCATTCAATAGAAATGTTGTCCTACAGATGGATGCTGAGAATTCCATGGACTGAATTATGTGAGTAATTCCTGTAAAATTTTGTGGTTAGCACCTGTGCATCTTATTAATGTATTGAAAAATTTGAGCATCATTTTTATTGGTTAGGTGATTCTGAAAGAATTAGAAGTCCTACTAGGATTCATTATTGGTGGCCACAATCTTAGATATGCGGATGATACAGTGTTGGTAGCAGGCATAGGAAGGGAACTACAGGAACTCCTACAGACGCTAGTAAAGGAAAGTGAGAAGAAAGGACTAAACATCAATTGTAAGAAGACAATATATAGTTGTCAGCAAAAGGAACATACCCACATCCAAATTATAAATTGGAGATGCCAAATTCTAATATTTGAGATATTTAAATTTAGACAGAGAACAGAAAGTGCAGCACTAAAAATTGAAGGTGCATTGGGATAGCAAATGATACCTTCCTGAAACTAAACAAAGAAACATGAAAATCTCATTAACAATAAACAAAAGAGTACTTAACTTGTTATGTAATATTGGTTCTCCTATATGGTAGTGAATGCTGGACAATCTCCTCACAGATGAAGAGATGTGAGGCAACAGAAAGGTGGTGCTACAGAAAGATGCTGAGAATACCATAGATTGAACATCTGAACAATGATGAAGTTTTAGAGAAAATCAAAACAAAAAGAACACTCATACTTAACATGAGAAAAGAACCAGTTGAAATTTCTCAGACGCATGAGGAAAGAAGGCTTAGAAAATTTGACATTCACAGGATAGTTTGAAGGCAAGAGAGACAGGAAAAGAATGTATAACCTAGCTAATGATTGTTTAAATGGTTAGCAGAACAGAGATTAGGAGAGATAGCTAAAAGACAAAATATATTAAGAGCTACAATGGACAGAAAATTATGGAGAGCCATGATTGTCCACGTCCTGAAGGGACATGGCACATAGAAGAAGAAATTCCATAAGTTGTAAGAGACTATAAATATATTTAAATTGATTTCTGAATGCACTTATTTTTTTATGGCTTATCAACCATTTGTGGGTTATTTAAAGCCAAAACATATTTTGGATTGTAAGAATAATTTTTGAGGGAATATTGCATTAACAATTGTTTTGAGGATAACAATGATTCTTTTATTTATAATTCCTACTATTTAACCTATAGCTATGGGTAAGAGATGGATTCATACCTTTCACAAGGGTATTTGTGTATAATCGAATATAACAAACCCAACTGAAATTCAAACTCTGCCTTCAATTGCTCATTCTGAGCCACTATCCCTTACACCACCTGCACATACCACCTAACTATTGAGAACAGCACTATGCCAACTGGAAACAGCATATACCCAATGAAAGATTATATATAGTTACCTATTAAGGATTTTCAAAAGAGTTAATGGATTTTATTTTTTTTAATCTGACATATTTTTCTTACTCCAAACATTATTTTTAGTGGATACCTGTATTTGAACAGACATTCCATTTATTTTAAACAGTATTTATTTCATCTGGCCTGTGTACTCAAGAAAACTTAAAGAAAATGTGTCCTTCAAACATGCATTCCCCTTTGCAGGAGGAATTGCCATCAGATCCAGCATGCTTTTACCTCTTGGTTACAAAGAGCTTCACAACAAAGCAAGGTTTTATTTTGTATTTAAAGCACACTGAGTCATTCAGATTTTTCTCAAGGCACACATCTGCTCATTTCATGTGGGCTCAATCAGTGAAAGGCAAGTGGCCATTGCTGGAGAGAGTAAACAAGAAGTGTCTCTGTTTATACTATGGATCCACATTATGGGAAAAGAACCAGAGGTAGACCAGCTAGTACTTGTATTGTTCAGATCATAGATTACACTGGGAGAGTTACAGATGATAGAAATAGTTGAAGAGATGTGATTAGAAATGTTTGTCTGCAGATGATCTGATAGATATCAATTACAATGTTTATCTCATCCTGGATATGATGATAAACTACATCTGGCAGCAAGGCCTGTGATCAGGAGATTGGAAGTTTTGAAGAGCATGGAATTACCTTTTAACTGCTGCTGTTTCCTAGGTTCGCCTTGCCCTGTGGTGATAGCACCTGTTAGGGTCCCAGCTATGGATAAATAGTGAACAAAAATCAACAGTACATGTTAATAATAAACTGAGCAACAATACAATTTTATAGCAAAATGACAATCAATGCAACACTAAAAAACATATAAAAATACATTTTTATTGTAAAATTACCAACAATTGATTTTATGACCTACAAACTATATATCTAAAATCATACATTTATTCTGAAAGTATAAAATCACGTACAAAATATCTGTAGTTGAAAGCATAAAATTACATAGAAAATATTTAGATTTTAGCATTAAATAACCCATAGAGGTTGATATTCTGCTAGACAAAAACAACCAATAATAACCACTGTATTAAATTAAATGGGTCTTGTTATATTTAAATCAAAGATCATTTACTCACAAAAAGCTAATCAGTACTTTTTGGTTTGTTTTTTTCCAGCTAAGAATCGTGAAAAATTTAAGGAAATCGTTAATACTCTTTCTTCTGTCAAAATGGGGGACGTAAGTAACTTTTTCTTTTTTTCTTTTTTGTTTACTTAAGTCCATGCTTGTTTATTTGAAAAGTGAAGAGTGCATTCATACAACAAACAATTAGAAAATGTGATTTTTTTTTGTTGTTGAAAGCATCTCAGCTTCAGTCAGTTTTCCACCATTGTAATGTAGGTTTCCCTGTACCTTTTCTATAACTATTTTCATGGTATTTGTTCTGCAGCAAAGTCTCATCATTTTACAGTTGAAATGGCTAGATGTAGCTGTAAGTTCTATGCTAACAGTTTCTTCTGTCATGCTTCTCACTTGTGGAACTCTCTTTTGGCTTCTTGCTTTCCAGTCAATTTTGATCTTCAGAAATTTAAATGTTATCTTCTGTTTTATTAATTCCTGTTCTCTCATTGCTCTATCTCCATAATAGTGTTTTTTTTTTGTTTTTTTTTGCTCATATTCTCTAACACTCAGTACCCCCCCTCTTATGTCTTAGTGGCTTTATTGCCTTGCTTGGAGTGAAATGATTAAAAAAAAAATGAAGGATGGAAATTGATTTCCCTGAGTTAAATGTCATTCTTCTTTTATATGGCATGTCCCTTCAGGAAGTGGGTGATCATGGCTCTTCGCATCTTTTATTTACACTATTTGCGCACAATCTATTGTTCTCATTTTGTTGTTGTTATCACAGAGTTTCGGCTGTTATGCCCTCAAGCCTTCATCAGGTGTATGTCAATCTGGGTAACCTACTGGGAATCAAATAAAGAATTCAGTTCAGAATTCCCTGGAAGTTACCCAGATTGACATGCACATGATGAAGCCCAGAGGGCACAACAGCCAAAATATGGTGATAACAACAACAAACATGAGAATAGTCCATATGTAAATAGTGTAAATAATTATAACCCCTCATCCTAGAAATTCAGACAGTTCTTATTTCCTATTGCCCTTAGTAATCTTTGTCTTTTTTGCAATCCTTCCCACTATCTATTCTGCCATCCATTCACACAACATCCTCATGTAGATGGCCCAATGCTTCTCCCTGTCCCTTTTGTCTTTAATGTTCTGTGAGTGTCAAATTCTCCAAGCCCTCCTTCCTCATTTATGTGTCCAAGAAATTTCAGCTGTCTCTTTTTGATTCTGAGTATAAATGTTCTTTTTGTTTCCATTTTCCTTTAGACTTCTTCATTGCTCACATAATATGGCCATGGTATTCTCAGCATCCTTCTGTATAACCACATTTCTGTTACTTCATGTCTCTTCTTTATCTGTGAAGAGATTGTCCAGAATTCACTGCTACATAAGAGGATTGATATAACACACATTCAGCATTAAAAATAAATAAACATGTGTATTTCCTGAGAGAATTATCAATGTAATTGTTGCTTTTGATTTGTGTGCAAATGGATCAAAACTGACAACATACTTTTAATTCACAATTTATATTAATCCTTTCAATCCAACTTCTCCACAAATATTTTTCTATTATTACTAATGATTTCATGGTTATACTCAATAGACCAAACTTTTTTTAAATCAAATGTATTTTTAAAGTAATTTTTTTTCTTAGGGGTAGAACAAAAATGTCTCAACAGTATTCTTATTGTGATTATTTGTGATTCATGTATAAATTGCAACCCTAATTTTGAGTCATAAAATTCTAGAAAGATAAAAAAGCTTTTGTGTATAGTACGCACTGCTTCTTTTTTTTTTTTTTTTTTAGAATTTATAGCATGTAAAACTAACTTTAATTTAACATTTATTCAAGTTAATAGCTATGAGTCTAGAGTCTACCATTCATCCATACCTCAAATATTGTCCAGTGCCCCTGTTATATATTTAAACATTCTTGATAATTCTTGATAAAATCCAAAGACAAATCTACAATATTATTAGTCCAAGCATGGTGTCTCAGCTTCAGTCACTTTCCCACTGCCATAAAGTTGCATCCATGTGCGTTTTCTATAAATATTTGGTAATTATTTGGATGAGCTCTTTGCTATGGTACCTAGACTTTATAAATTTAAACACAGTACTAGATTAGCAAAAACTTCTCATCAATTTACTGTTGAATTGGTTAGGTGTAAGTTCTATGCTAACAGTTTCTTTATTCACACTTCTTGCTTGTGGAACTCTCTTCCGGCTTCTTGCTTTCCAGTCAAGTTTGATCTTCAAAAATTTAAATGCAATATCAATCATTATCTATTGTCTTCCTAATTAGTCTTTCATTGTTCTTGCTCCTCAATAATACTTTAGTTTTCTAATTCTTTCACATCCAGTAACCTCCTTGTGTCTTAATGGCTTTACTGCCTTACTTGGGGTAAATTCAATAGAAAAAACAATAAAAACGTTCATATCAACTGAAAATAAGAATTTATATAGGTTTAGCTTATGTTTCAAAACACAATATTTGAACATCAAATGCACAGACATGTTCACACAAAAATGCAATAAGCTTGCAGCAGAAATAAGCTCACACTAGGAGAAACAAAATTATAAACATAGACAATTATCCGTAAAACCATCTTGGCAAAGTCGCATCAGCAAATGCTGCATCACAAATTCACAGGATGACAATGATAATAACATCTGTTTAGACAATCAGGGCTGCCTACTCATTTTCCTGAGTACACCTGTCTGCCACATTGACTCACTAATCCATGCTACAGACACCTGCTCAATCATGTTTGTGTTTCTTTAACATTTACAGACTCAACCTGTGGTCTATGCTGCAACTATCCTGAACAAACTTTGCATTTCTGAGAGAAAACACATAATCTGGCATGATCAGGAGTTATACAATGTCATTACACTCAAACCCTCGGTCATGATAACTTTTGACTTTGTCAAACAATTCTATCTGTCCAATTTTACTCACAAGAACTTGGGTCAACTTGTGGTTTTGTTTGCAGGCACTTTCCAAAGGTAATGCATGCCACAAGCCAACATCAGGTAATCACTTTCCTGATAAATTGATCATGATGAGATTCGAACACAAGTCCCATGGTTGAAAAGTGAACATTCTAAACATTCAGCCATGCACCCATTATTTAGACCATAATGATGTAAAAAATGACAGACATCTACTACACTGACAACATAGATAAAACTGTCATGACCTTTGACACAGACAACAGTTGACTAAAAATGGGCTAAATGTCAATGTGAATAATTTTTTCAAACAAGCACTGTGTTTGGTTAGTGATTTAAATACTTTGTTACTCATTAGTTAGTTTGGACTATAAATATAATTTGCTTTTGGTCATACTGTCCAAATGTGACAAGGCACATGAACAAAAAAGTTAATATTTAGTTCTCATGTATAATACATATATCCCTCATTTTTTTTTTACTTAAAACTCTGCAGAATACATATTATACACAAGTAATTATGGCATATAACAAACAGCTGGAATTATATACAGAATTTGAGAACAGTTATTACTAGCAGATATTTTCTTTTTTCTGTCTGAATTTCTGGGATAAGGAGTTATCATTAGTTACACTATTTATATTCAGGCTATTTTCTTTATCTTCATTGTTGTTATCACAATGTTTTGACCATTATGCCCTTCAGCCTCCCTCAGATGTATATGATCTGGCTAACCTACAGGGAATTCTGAACTGTACCCTTTATTAAATCTACAGGGATAGACTGTTCTCATTCCACTGTTCATGTCTAGGGATATTGTCTAGTTCTTATTTTTATTTTGTTCCGTTATTGTTTGACACTAGGTCAATGTCCCAATAGACGATGGTATAGTGCATTGGTTTGTGAATTTGGTGATATAGTGATTGTGAGTTCAATCCCCGGGTCAGGCAGTGTGTACTGGCGTTCAGTGGAAATGCGTGAGCAATAACTGAATGGTACTAAATAAAAATAAGAACTAGATGATATTCCCAGACATGAACAGTGGAACAAGAACAGCTTACTCTTGTAAACTAAATAAAGGATTCAGTTTAGAATTCCCTGTAGGTTACCCAAAATCAATATACAAGAAAGCCAGGGGACAAAATGGCCAAAACGTTGTGATAACAACAAAGTAAGAATATAAATAACATAGATATTTTTTTCTTTTTAACAATGATGTTCATCCTGTACAAGGCCCAAGATCCACTTGAGGAGAAAGAGGCACAGTTTATAGATATATGTGGAGAAGATAACAGGATAACAGTTGACCCTAGATTTGAACAGGTTAAGATTGTACTTATTGGAGAAGCATCCTCTTGATAGTCAGTTCAACAAGGCATTGGTTAGTGGGATTAAGATGATTGTGTGGAACTTACATCTCACCAAAAGAATACGAAGGGAATGAGGGTGATTCGCTACAATATGATGGCATAGTGGGCCTTAGCCATGAAGAATATATTACATATATCCCATAAAAGGGTTAATGTTGTCACCAAATTAAAAGTTATAAACTCTATTTAAGAGTAAAATTTCCCAACTACAATAAAAAGATTAATTGTGAAAGTAATAACAATAATTACCTTAAGAGAAAGATTATAATAAATTTTACACAGAATATTTAGCTAAAATTCTTTGAGAGTAAATATAAAAAATGATGGAATAATTATAAAAATTCATTGGAAAGGCAATAAGATGATTAATTACTTTACAGTTATCTCATTCAGAATTTTTTTTTTTTAATGATTATCTAATTCAGTTATTGGCTTCTCATTTTAGCAGCTCATTGTTATTTGCTTATCTTGTCAAGTTCCGTTCCTTTGCTGGGCTACAAAGACATTTCTTTGAGAGATTTGCATTAACAAAATTGTCGTAATTAATGCAGCTGGATAGGTTTAAACATTTTGGTAGTTATTTATTTCATAAAAGACATGTTATAATATTATGATTTATATTTGTTAGGTTTTGGAAATATACTATTAAAAAATGTCAACATTGTTAATGTCCCTTGACACAAAGTAAAAGTCTTCACTTCAACCTAGTTTACAAAATTTTAATGATTAAACATCAGAATATTGATTTTAGGAGGTGGATAAAGCTGAGAACTTTTCAG